TCTTTTTACTTTTTTTCCATACCAAACATTAAAAAAAATATATATATTAGAATAACATTATAGGGGTCTAATTTGAAAACTTAATCAGATATATTTTTTTTTATTATTATTAATTATTTATGATTTTTAAGATTAGATGAAGATTACTTTTAATTTAATACATATAATTGGTTAGCTCCTGAAATTAATTTACTATACTTGGTCTTAATAGTATTTTTTCAAAAAAAAAAATCTCTATATTTTTTATTTTTTTTATTAAACACAAAGGATGGAACAAAACAAAAAAAAAACAGAAAAATAAAAAAAGTTTAATATATGTGTGATATTGAAACCTGCACTACAAAAAGTGCTGTAAAGTTATGGTGGTGGGCCCCATTTGTCTTTACTCTTTTTTTCCATATTCTCTTATTTATGATTTTCCGGAAGTAGAAATTGATGTTGGAATTGCACTTTAGGCATAAATGTCGGTGACCTAATAGACAGAAAGGCTATTTTAGACCATTGGGACCATATCGAACTATCATTTTACCTGTACAGTCATCAAAAGCGCGTGCGGCCACGATTACGACACCCAGACCCTTGTTAATTGGTGTCTTTTTTGTGTTTTTGGAGAATCCTTAGGGCATGTTTGTTTTAAGGATTAAATTTGAGTGGTATTAAATTGTATTCATTCCATTCTTATTCGATAGGACATTATATTCGATCTTAAATATTTATTCCATCATTTTTCTTTTTTGTTTATTATAAAAATTATTTGTGTGATACTTATCTAAAAAGGTGTGTCAGGTGAACTATTCATTATAAAAAGACTATTGTAACCTTATAATTCAAAGTAATTTATGCCCTTGTTTGTATAATACATGATATAACAATTTATATTCAAAAATTTTTGAATAATATAAAAAATTCATTTAAAAAATAAAGAATCTGATACTATGAATCGGTGATGTTGTAAAATTTTTTTTTTTTAAATTCGATGACATTGTACGGTTAAACATATTATAAGAAAAAAATTCAAAATAATTTTTTTAAAAAAATTTTAAAAAAACCGATAACATTGTACGCTTAAACATAATATAAAAAAAATTTAAAATAATTTTTTTTTAAAAATTGGTAACACCTTATGTTTAAACATAATAGAAGGAAAAAACTTTTAAAATAATTTTTTTTTTTTAAAAAAAATGGTAACACCATATGCATTTAAACATAATATAAGCAAAAAATTCAAATAATTTTAAAAAAAAATTAAAAAAATCGATGACACCATACGATTAAACATAATCCAAAGAAAGAATTCAAAATAATTTTTTAAAATGTGAACTCTTAACAGAAGAGGGCATTTGTGTTTTTTTATTCTCTTATACCGTCCTTTTATTTATTCCGAAAGATAATACCAGCGGATATGTGGTATTCATTAACATCATGTACAAGACATTTAGGACATTATTTAAATTGAGTCGGTATTACGACCCTAAATATATATACTGAGCGTAAAATGTTAAACAAACAATATATAAGGTGGACCCCACCTACTATTTCCTTTTATCCCATCCAATAATATCATTTAATCCTTCTACCAAACATGCCTTACACCATAAAAATTTAATAGTTGTTAGTTTATATTTTTAAATTTTAAATTTTTTATATTATACTATCAATATATTAAAAATATTATAATATAATTATTTTATTAATTTTTATTATTTATTCAGTCAAAAATTACATTCTTGACGTTAACAAACAATTTTCTATTGTGATTTATAGTTATAAAATCAACGTGTAGTTTTTATGCAAAATTATACAAAATACAAATAATAATTTCCTTGTTTTTCTTCCGTGACTTATAGTTAAAAGAATAACTATTAAGGGAATTTGTCGAATACCATAAGGGTTAGTTTACTTGTATGATATAAATTGTTTTAACCCACAGTTATTTAGTTTTTTTTTTTTTTTGGGGGGGGATCAATTTTCACTTGATAGAGATGATAATGTCGCTCGAGGAATGAGCTTAAGTATTCTATAAAAATTTCACCGATTGGCATTGTAACAAAAATGGGACGTGAAAATAAAGTGAACAGCAAGGTGAAATACAAATTAAATCATTCTTTAAGACGAATCGCGCCCTTTTATGAAAAAAAACACAACTTATAAGGCAATAATGTATCGTCCTCAAGATACAATAGTTAATCTATTGACTGTTGCGTCACTCAAATCTGTACAATCGATGAAACAGAAGTTTTATACGACACTTTTAAATATTATCCAAAAACTTATACAGTAAAGAGATTGTTATAAATATCAAATTATATATTTTCTCTACTGAAATATATATATAAAAAATATAGATGTTTAATATTACGTAATTACTCATATATTTAATTAGATAATAACTTAAAAAATAATAGTTAGAATACTAGCCGTTGAAACTTTTGATATTCAACAACTGAATTTTTAATTCATGAGTTATGATGAAAAATAATTAAATAAAATATTAAAAAATGGTTTAATACTAATTAATATTTTATTCCATTTAGGCGAGTTAAGGGGACTCGCAAAATCTATATTTTCTCTATTTATTCTACTCCTGAGCACATGACAGTTCTAAGATCTCACTTTAATTTAAAGGTTAGATAATACTGATGCATATATATACTTGAGTACTTTTAAAAATTTAATTGATGTGAAATTAAGTTCTCATATAAAAACCACTTTTTTATTTAAAATATTCTAAATGGCTTCTCACTTACATTTAAGAAAGTTAGAGTCCATCTCGTGTGTTCCCATCGAAGATGATAAATTTGTTTATCATTTTATAAGCGATTTAACATAATTGTAGCATAAGTGACTTATTTTTGATGGAACTAAAAATATAATTAATTAAAATGTATATAAACTGACTCAAACACTCTTAACCTTAAAATTATTTACTTTTTGTCATGACTTATTAAATTATGAACAATGCTATATAGACTTAAAAATTAGACTTGATAATCTCAACAATTGATTTTATTGTGAGTTTCAGTATTTATTGGGACCCACTACCTATTCAATGGTTGAGATTATAAAGTTTAAGTTTTAAGTCTAATTTTTAAATCCATCTAACATTACTCATAAATTATTAATAATATTACAAATCGTGGGTTTTTGCCACTGTATTTGGCCAAGCGTGAATAGTGTAATTTAGTCAATCGCTCAAAATCTTTAGTTTATATTTTACGGCACTGACCTTTTTAGTGTTTACTGTATGGCAGACTTGGACGCTAGCCCAAGACATACGCCACCGGCATCTTCTCTTCTTTTACCATTTAAATATTCCCGCCCCAAAAAAAAAAAATCCAAAAACCTCAAAATCAATATATACGAGCAATAATTCTGTATGGAAAAACTATTTATAATATCAAAAATTAAATATTGATTGTTTAATATTTATAGTTTAAATAATTATTTATTTAGTTATATAATTTAAAATTAAATTGAACAAAGAGGAAAAAAGAGAAATAAGAGAAAGGTAAGCATTAATTAGATTTTTTTTTTTTTGTCACTATTTGAAATTTTTACAAGGGAGAGTTTGGTGAGATTGGAATTCACGACTTAATGGTTCAACAACGAACCGGTGACAATTAATTTGATTATTAATTCTTAGGTGTTGATTAATTAACCTGATATTAGAGAGTGTATTAGTTGAGTTGTTTTATATTTGACATAATTTTTTTTTTTTTGGGATTAATCTTATTCTATTAGAAAAAAATATATGAGAATTGAATTAATTTTAACTGATGTTATTTTTTTATAAATTTTATGCATGCAATATTAGACCGTTTTTAAAAAAAAAATAAAAAAGAAGAAGAGAAAATGGCTTATTTTTTCTTCTTGATTTACGCGTTTGGGTTGTTAGATCTTTACTCCTTCTTTCTCAATTTTACTTTCTGTTTTTGTTTTTCCAGCGTGGGAAAAAAATATTTTATACATCAACCCAAAAGTCGGAAAAAAAGAGAAAAGAACATTGATTGTTTCCTTAATTTCAAACACGGAAAAAGATCTATCCTAGAAGGAAGGAGGATCCAAGTTTCAACCTTTCCATAATGACACTTTACCTTCTCTAATTCTCTGTTCACATGTGTGTTTATATGTTGAGTCTTTATTAGAGCCTGCGTTGTTCCTCTATTTTCACTAAAAAAATTTCTGGGTCAGAAAGTTTTTTCTTAATCAGAGGGTTCCTAGGTTTAGGTACAGGGGTTACGTCGTTAAATGTTTTTTGGTAGTTTGGGTTTTATGTGAATCAAATTAGAAAAGGAGTAGTAGGTGCAGAAAAAAATTCTGAAAGCAAAGCCCATAGCTTTTTGTCGGAACCCTGTCTTTTTCATGTTATTTATTTCACTTTTTTTTAAAAAAAATTTATTATGGAGTTTTGAAATTGTGCTTTCTCTCTGTCACCTACTGGTTTTAACCTCAGATTTTAAGGTTTTTTTTTTCGTGTGATTTTGTGTTTTAAAACCATAAAATAAGCACAGAGTTAAGAAAGTGCTGTGTTTTTTGTGTCTCAATTTTGATTATCATTCTGTAATCCAAATCGAAGACGTGTTGTGCTGTTACTCTCTTTCTCTCTCCCCATCAATTTCGGTTGCTCTACATGTTTACAATTACAAGCCTTTTGCAAGCTGTAATTGAATGTGAGCTATTGTGAGTATCTCTCTCCTCTGTCCTCCTCTCTCTCTATATACAATCCCCCTTGTAAGATTTATACGAATGTTGCCATGAGTTAAGAGACGCCAAGCTTCTCACCTCCACACGCGTCTCTCTGTCTCTTCACCTTCTCCGTTTTCTAAAACCATTCTTCGTTCTCTCTCTCTCTCTCTCTCTCTCTCTCTCTCCATAGCAATGCCACTATAGCGTTTTCTATCTGTGGTTTTCACATTCAAACCATTTGAGATTCAAAACATCAAAATTTCAAACTTCCAACTCCAATTTTTGATCTGGGTCTCTGATCAAGCACTCCAACAATGGCACCATCATTCGATTGGTGGGCTAAAGAGAACCACAGAGGAACACCAGTAGTCATTAAAATGGAAAACCCAAACAACTGGTCCATGGTCGAGCTCGAAGCCCCATCAGAAGATGACTTTCTCTACGACAGCGACGAAACCTCAGTGGCCAGTCGTCCTAAAGACAAAACCAGAAACAAAAACGCCAAACAGCTCACCTGGGTCCTCCTACTCAAGGCCCACAAAGCCGCCGGTTGCTTAACATTCATCGCCAATGCATTGCTCAACCTCACCGCCGCCATTCGCCGCCGTGTCTCCTCCGGCAGAACCGACATTGACAATGAAACAAGTGGCGACATGGCCACCGAGAACTTTACTGTTAAATCTGAGTTTTATTCATGTATAAAGGTGTTTCTTTGGGTTTCCCTTTTGTTACTGGGGTTTGAGGTAGCTGCATATTTCAAAGGTTGGCATTTTGGGGCACCTGATCTTCAATTGCAGTACTTCTACACATTGACGAACCCATTAGCTGTTAAGGGTGTGTTTGATTCGCTTTATTCGAGATGGGTTTTGATTAGGGTGGAGTATCTCGCTCCTCCTCTTCAGTTTCTGGCCAATGCATGCATTTTGCTCTTCCTTATACAGAGTCTAGATAGATTAGTCCTCTGTTTGGGTTGTTTCTGGATCAAATTCAAGAAGATCAAGCCAGTCCCCAAACAAGCCACAGTGGATCTGGAGTCTGGTGAGGGTGTTGGTTATTTCCCCATGGTTCTAGTTCAGATCCCCATGTGCAACGAAAAAGAGGTAACTTTTCAAATAATCCATTTGAGTATTTGTCGGTATTGATCTCAATTTACAGTTTTTGTTGTTGTTAGAATTGTGTTTGTTTTGTCTAAAATTGGAGTTGTTATTATCAGGTTTATCAGCAGTCTATTGCTGCTGTGTGCAATTTAGACTGGCCTAAGACGAAAATTCTAATTCAAGTGTTGGATGATTCGGATGACCCAACAACACAATTGCTGATCAAAGAAGAGGTATGTAAGTGGCAGCAAGAAGGTGCCAACATTGTGTATAGGCATAGAGTGATTCGAGAAGGGTACAAAGCTGGCAATCTCAAGTCTGCTATGAATTGTAGCTATGTCAAAGACTACGAGTTTGTTACCATTTTTGATGCTGATTTTCAGCCCAACCCTGACTTTCTCCAAAGAACAGTTCCTCATTTCAAGGTATTCACAAAAATTCCCTATATTTTCCCCGTGATAATTTTTAGTACTGAACCACAATGCCATGACAATTTTGATGCCTTGATCACATCCCAGTATGTGTATGAATCTGTCTATGTAATTAGATGTGTGTATGTGTTTGATGTGTGTGCAAACTTATGAATTTGTAGTGATGTGTTTTGTTCAATTAAACCAACATACATTTTTCTCTGCGAATTGTAGGATAATGAGGAACTAGGATTGGTTCAGGCAAGGTGGTCCTTTGTGAACAAGGATGAAAACTTGTTGACGAGGTTGCAGCATATTAATTTGGCTTTTCATTTCGAAGTGGAGCAGCAGGTGAATGGGATTTTCCTGAATTTCTTTGGATTTAATGGGACTGCTGGTGTGTGGAGGATAAAGGCATTGGAGGAGTCTGGTGGGTGGTTGGAGAGAACTACAGTTGAGGACATGGACATTGCGGTTCGGGCTCATCTTCATGGATGGAAGTTCATTTTCCTTAATGATGTGGAGGTATTTTGCTGCTATACCGTAATTCGCTGTCATCAATGTTTCTCATGGTAATGTTTTTTTTTTTGTGAATCAACAATAATGTTTTGTTCAACCCATTTTCAGTGCCAATGTGAAGTACCAGAATCGTATGAAGCTTACAGGAAACAACAACACAGGTGGCATTCAGGGCCTATGCAATTGTTTCGGCTCTGTTTGCCCGAAGTTATTCGATCAAAGGTATTCAACTAGTGCAACACGTGTGGGTTGGGTTTGCATTGTGTACTACTCGTTGAATTTGATGATATGGGCTGAATTCTGTTCACTGACACTATTCTGGTTATAATTTGTTTGATGCAGATTAGTGTTTGGAAGAAAGTCAATTTGATTTTCCTCTTTTTCCTGCTAAGAAAACTGATACTGCCGTTTTATTCATTCACCCTCTTTTGCATAATCCTTCCCATGACAATGTTCATCCCTGAGGCTACATTACCATCATGGGTCGTCTGTTACATTCCAGCCACCATGTCGTTTCTCAATATACTTCCTGCCCCAAAATCTTTCCCTTTCATTGTCCCTTATCTTCTATTTGAGAACACTATGTCAGTGACCAAGTTCAACGCCATGATTTCGGGCCTATTTCAACTTGGAAGTGCGTATGAATGGGTTGTCACCAAGAAATCCGGACGTTCCTCTGAGGGTGATCTTGTCTCTTTGGCTGAGAAAGAACCAATAATGCATGAAACGGGTGTTTTAGTGCCCAATTTAGTGGAAATGAAGGAAGAAATTAAACAGCAGGAGCAGAAGAGTAAGAAGAAGAAACACAATAGGATATACACGAAAGAGTTGGCGCTTGCTTTCCTTCTTTTGACAGCTTCAGCACGGAGCCTATTGTCCGCTCAGGGGATCCATTTCTACTTCTTGCTCTTTCAGGGAGTATCGTTCCTGCTTGTGGGCCTTGACTTGATCGGTGAGCAGGTTCAGTAAAATAAATTTCCAGGCTTTGTTGGATGTACATTCTCAAGCAAGCACAGGCGACTTGTTGAATCGATATTCAGCCAAGTAAATTAAAGACACACCAGTGGGAAAACTGTGGAGGGGTGAGAGTGCTTCTTTCTTTTCCTCCGCCTTCCCCACCCAAAAACGTCGGCTGAGAACCTATGTGAAAAGGACCATCAAATTACTTCCATCTTCGAAGTAGAGAAACCAACCCATAGCAAAAATGGGGATGCTCATTACTACATTGCATGTTTTTTTTTCCTTTGTATTCTTTTGTTTTTTGGTCTATTCTTTTGTAAGAAGAATTTGTATGTCCAGACATCAAAAACGGAATTTAGTACAGTTTGATTTATTATAGGAGTGCAAGTTTCAGGTGTTCTACTCTTTATGCTGCATAACATCTTTGATTCTGAATAATGCCTCATCAATTGTTCTTCAAGTTGAAATGGAGGGCAATTGTTTCTCATAACAATGTTTGATCCCTATAAAATTCCATGCTTTGTGTTTGTTTGTGTGGATCCAAGGAATAAAATTTGGTTTCGGTGTGTTATTTCGGTCATCTAGGAAATAGAAACGTTTCGACCCGTTTCGAAAACAGAATGAAAATAATAAAAAAATTAAGAATTAATTTTTTAAAACATTTGTCGAAATATATCAAAATATTTTGAAACGCCTTTAAATATTATGAAATAATTGTGTAAATACATTGAAACATTACAATATACCTTGAGACATTACGAAACACTTTGAAGCATTAAAATTATGATTTTATCATTGAATCGTTTCGATCATCTTGAAAATAAAAACGTTTTGGATGTTTTGATCGTTGCGAAATAAAATTTTAATCCTTATGGGGAACTTCTTGTTTGCCTGTGTTGTATTCCTTTCCCCGACTTGGTTTTGAATCATTTTTTGAGCACCTTTTTGAAGAGAATTAGAATACAAGAGGGATTTGTAGATAGTAAAACTAAACATTGTTTGGTACATCAAGAAATACGTTGTTTGGTTCATAGTGTTTATATTCACCAATCACCAATCTTGAGAAATTTACATACTTTAATGATTTATTTTGCGTCTTTGGAAAGTTAATGAACTTGAATTTTAGCAATACACAATATGTATGTATATGCTATTTGTAGTTAATTTATTGAGATAATTTGTTAATGTAATTCATCACAATCACAAAGGCGGCTCAACAGCACTAAAAAAAAAAAATTAGGCTTTTGGCATCAAATTTTTAGAAGGCCTCATAATTTTAGGTACATTACTAATTCAAAAAAAATTTAAATTTTAAACCTAAAAAAGCCTTAAAAAATTAAGTACAATCAAAATTTTTATTGTTATAATTTGAATCCATGATCCAATTCATAACATTAAAAACCTAAAAATCACAAGTTGAAAAAATAAAAAATACTCAAAAATCAACTCTGTAAAATAAATAAAAAATTTAAAAAAAGTTAAAATTAAACTCTCTCCAATAAAAAAAAACAAAAGTTAAAATATTTTTCTTGGCAGGACTAGCGCGTCATTCTTTTGTTTCCCTCTCACATATTAAATTTAAAATAAATTAATTTTTTTAAATTAATATTAAAAATAATAAAAAAAGAGAATGATTTAGTGCTTTTGTTTTAAGTCTCAAATTGTCTTGAACCACCCCTTCACAATCATTAGATTTGGTTGCGGGTCTCAACACAAATTGGGGTTTATTGCTAATCCAATGGTTATAAATGATCAAGTCACCAAATTAAATCAAAATAAAATTGTTCGAATTTAGTTACTAAGAAAATTAAAAAAAAAAAAAAAAAAAAGGAACTTAAGTGAATATTCACGGGAATATCCGGGAATATTTTGTTGTGAAAGGGAAGCATTTTACGTACCAAACTATTTAATAGTGATGGAGTATGGTCAATGAATCATGTGGGTAGCAAATGGGATGGTTTGGAACAATTTTGTGTATAATATGGAGGAGGGCCATGTGAGATTTGTCTGGAGTGAGAGAGACTTCTTTCGAGACGGCCAATCGTGTCCACCATAATTGACAACCTACCCACTTTGTCCACCTTAATACCCCATTGTGCGTGCAAGATCCTGCACAATATAAAAAACGAGAACAAATCTCTCTCTTGGTGAACTTCGAGTGAGCCAGTTGAGTGACCAACCGCGCTGCTTGGAACAGCCTGCGAGGTCCGGTGGTAACCTGGAACGGCAACGGGAGACCCTGGGGGAGCGGAAGAACGATCCAGTAAGGCTGGAAGAGGTTCCTGGAACAAAGAAGAACAAGTTATAAGGGCGCCGGAGTGTTTTCCGGCGTATCCCCTCCGACGATCTAGTCAGTCTTTGAGAAAGAGAGAGGAAGGAGAAAACACTGAGTGTGTATTGTAGTAAATAGTTTTTTGTTGCATACCCGTCTTGCCTTTTTCAAGGAGTATTTATACCTCAAAAACTCATGATTGCTGTCAGTATAGTCAGTAGGTGATCATTAGGTACAGGCAGTGTGCGCACTGATTCTGATGAGGAATGTCTTCTCTTTTTAACTGCTCTGGGTCCCGAGCAATCAGTGCTGGGTCATCGGGATGCCGACGGTACAATGTATTCCTCTCGGGGAGGATGCAATAAATGCTCTGTATTAGGGGCATTTATTGTCTTTCATTTCCGAGCCTTACCGCATTAAATGCGGTCTCATCAAGGGAATGGTGTAATTAATCGTTTGCTTTCTCAAGTCGCGTGTCAGCAACGGCATGCGGTTTCTCTGTCTTCGATGTGATATCATACGCCACGCGTCCATCCCCTATTGGCTGTGACCCCTGCATTCCAGTATGTTCTGACACTAATTGTGTAAGACGAGGTCATGATGAATAGCTTAGGCTAATGACCTGTACGTCAATAGTTTATCCTGGAATAGAGGAGGTGTCTAGGACGAGGTACACCTCGGCAGCGAGGAAAGGCTCATCTCGAAACCGAGGGAGGAATACCGACCGAGGTACCATATCAGACCGAGACCATGTGTTGGTTGTAAAACGTACTGAATGCCATGATCCTATATGACGAGTACCTCGGGGGCGAGGACCTTTATGCGCCGATGGTGCTTGATCTTATCAACAGTGTTTTAGTAATACCGAGGACACGTGTCTTCATCATGGAGTATTTCAAAAAAGTCCCATCACCCGCACACAAATGCATCATCAAATTCTAATGTACATCTGACTTTCCAATACAGGGAGAATCGCCTATACTGAATTGTGACTTTTGCAAGAATTTCAGAGGCACTGATCTGGAGAAATCCTCACATGGCCCATATGGAGAGACCATGGGTCTTTGTATCCTTGGGGTTTGGTCACAATGTATAGTAGGCTTAGCAACTGTTTAACCATATGATTAAATTCAGAGGACAATTTGGGCATATTATCTTATAGCTTTTAAGGCCTAAGCTAGACCAGACCATGGGTGTTTGTATCCTTTCTTTTATTACTTTAAAAGATATACAGTAAACCCACCGACCACCGGCCTTCCTTCTACCTTGGTGTTTGTGGACCTCAAATTTCAACCACTTGGTTGTGAGTTTAAGGGCCGATAGAGAGAGAGAGAGAAGGAAGAGTTATTATGAGGTATTCTAAAGTACCTTCTTTTTGTGTTATTTCTTTTTTCTTTTTTTTTTTTTCTGGAAATTTGTTTCAAGATTGAATACTAGAAACACAGACTCAATTGATAGAATTAACATAAGTACTGATGGGACTCTTCCGAAATGCCCTATGATGAAGACACGTGTCCTCGGTTTTGCTAAAACACTGTTGCTTGGATCAAGCACCATCGGCGACCGAATGTCCTCGCCCCCGAGGTACCCTCATATAGGATCATGCATTCAATCTATTATACAACCAAACACGTGTCCTCGGTCACCTATGTACCTCGGTCGCACACCTCCCTCGGTCCCCGAGATAAGCCTTTCCTCGGTGCCGAGAGTTACTCCGTCCTGGATGCTTCCTCTACTCCAGGATAAGCTATTGACGTATAGGTCACTAGCCTAGGCTAGTCTAGGCTGCTCATCATGACCTCGTCTTACACAAGTAATGTCAGAACATATTGGAATGCAGAGGTCACAGCCAATAGGGAATGGACGCGTGGCAAATGATGTCACATCAGAGACAGACAAACTGCACGCCGTTGCTGACACACTGCTTGGGAAAACAAACAATTAATTGCACCCTTCTGTTGATGAGACCGCATTCAATGCGGTAAGACTCGGAAATGAAAGACAATAAATGCTCCTGTTACAGAGCATTTATTGCATCCTCCCCGAGAGGAGCATATTGTACCGTCGGCATCCCGACGACTGAGCATTGATTGCTCGGGACCCCGAGCAGTCAATTAGAGAAGACATTCCTCATCAGAATCAATGCACACGCTACTTGTGCCTAATGATCACCTGCTGACCACACTGATAGCAATCATGAGCCTTTAAGGTATAAATACTCCTTGCAAAAGGCTAAGCGGGTATGCAACAACAAACTCTTTACTACAATCCATTTTTCTCAGTGTTTTCTCCTTCCTCTCTCTCACTCAAAGACTGACTAGACCGTCGGAGGGGATACGCCGGAAAACACTCCGGCGCCCTTCTAACCCGTTCTTCTTTGTTCCAGGAACCCCTTTCATCCTTACTGGACCGTCACTCCTTTCCCAGGGTCTCCCGTTGCCGTTCCGGGTTACCACCGCACCGTGCAGGCTGTCCCAAACAGTGTGTTTGGTCACTCCACCCGCTCACTCGAGTTCACCAGGGAGAGAGATCTGTTCCCGTTTTTTATATTGTGCAGGATCTTGCACGCACAAGTACTATTAAGGTAATTTCATCAAATTTGCCTCGAAATTGAATACTACAAATAGAAACTCTTTGATCGTTGCGAACCATTTTTAATACATACGAAAGTTAGCTTCTATAAATATCCTTTGTTAAGTAATAATATTCAACTTCAGAATTCTTATACCCATTTCTCTGACAGTTTGTCTTCTTCTATTCCGTTTCCCCTCATTGCCTGTCATCGATTCCAGCCTCCCTCCCAAAATTGCAAGCTAAACCAGCATTCCCTCCTGGAGAGTGGAGTTGTCGGATATGTGTGGGTTTGGCCTTAACTGTGTTCGAGGTTTCACTGGCAGCATAAATGAAAGGGCTTGCTTTCCCTCTTCAACAATCTATTGAGGAGCTATTGACGCTTTTCTTTGTCTCTGCTCTTTTGAAAAAAGAAAAACCCAAATACATATATATTCAGATTAAATAGTAGTAG